TCACTTCGCCAGTCACAGGAGGTGCAGTAGTGACAGCCACCTCATCGGTCATAACAGCTGTACTGGCCGCCACTGTGGCATCGACAGTAGCTTCAGAACCAGTCGTACTCGTTGCTTCGGGAGCTGCTGTCGTACCTTCTTCGCTTGTAGCGGCCTCAGTGACCTCATCCGTGACTGCAGCAGAGGATGTGGAACCTCGGAGAGCCTCAGTCGGTCCACTCGTGCCGCAGAAGCACGGGGCATCCGAGCCGAAGCAGGTGCTCGGCATCTTCCAATACTTACAATATGACCCAGGGTAAGTTGTGGCACACTCTGTGTCGCAGTCATTGGCGTTGCCCGTCACGGAATTGATGTCCTGGAAAGCACAGAGAGCGACGAAAACAGCGGAGAAAGTCCGTGAAGCCATCATAGATAAATGCAAATGAGCGGCGGTAAGCTGAGACTAACTGGATGACTAAGAAGGCACATTTCGAGTGTGACTCGCACAATCGGCGACTCATGAGCTGTCATAGCATCCACGATCCATAACCTTGATGACTGCGTCTCATTAGTTGTGGCGAGCATACGTATCGTCCACTCGTTTCACAAGATACTTTGCTCAGTGCGGTATACACTCATTGTCCATGAAAGCCGACAAGTTTGTCAGTGAAAACCTCGTCGTGGGGTGAATAATACAATTACAGAGCGATTCTTGTATCGTGAATGTGAATCGCATTTAAAGTTGAGGAGGCTGGCAGTGGATTTGCATTGAGAGAGGGGCCGGTTGATGATATTAAACAATCATAGCTTCGCAGTGGGTCGAAGGCTATACATAGCGACACAAATATACAGGGCGTCAAATATAAGTATAGGTCGTCTACAACAGGCTCTTGAGGTCCGAGATGATAGTAATATCCGCTAACAACTCCCTTCGTGCCCATTGGATGACGCTTACTCTCTCATTGATATTAACACGATAGTGTTAATCGATAGCTAATAGTAGATGAGGACGTCGTCTCATTCATCAATAGTCTGATACCTTGCGTCTC